GACATAGTGAAAGGTTTTCAAAAATAAATACTCATGTAAACATTATATTTAACTGAAGTTAATATCTCCAAATTAGATTGAATCTATTTGCCATATGAATAATTATAAACGGGCTTCTTAACTGAACTTCATAAATGAAAATATTTTTAAATTAGATTAAGATAAAAACTATATTATTTGCAATATGCAAAAGACACCTAACATAAAGCCACTCAGAAAGATGTATTCATTACTTTCAACAAATAAGATGATGGGCAAAGGCATAACAAGAGAATGCAAACAAAAAGGAAGCAGAGGTCACATTCGTCTTACCAAACAAGATGAAATTCAGACACTCCTCACACACGTACACACACAAAAAAACAAAAAACAAAAAACAACAACCAAAAAAATTGAGTGTGACAGGAAGGGCACTTGATAATGTAAAGTATAAAATTCATATGAATACATGAGACGTATATTTAGGTTCTAAATACCAAATAGGTAGCTCTTATAAAGCAGAAGTTAAGGTAGATACAAGGAAAATATTCAGAAATGTACTATCAATAGAACACTTTAATTCCCTTTCCCTGGACTACACCAGTTAAATGGACAAAAAAATAGGCCGGGTGTGGTGGTTCATGCCTGTAATCTCAGCATTTTGGTAGGCCAAGGTGGGTGGATCACCTGAGGTCAGGAGTTCGAGACCAGCCTGGCCAACATGGTGAAACCCTGTCTCTACCAAAAATACAAAAATTAGCCAGGTGTGGTGGTGGGCGCCTGTCATCCCAGCTACTCGGGAGGCTGAGGCAGGAGAATCGCTTGAACCCGGGAGGCAAAGGTTGCAGTGAGCCAAGATCGTGCCACCACACTCCAGCCTGGGCAATAGAGTGAGACTCCGTTTCAAAAAAAAAAAAAAAAGTATGAACACAGAAGATAGAAGATATTACTATCAATAAAAAAATAGATATGCTACATCTATATTGAACTTTTACAATTGAAAATAGAGGCCGGGCGCAGTGGCTCACACCTATAATCCCAACACTTTGGGAGGCCAAAGCAGTTGGATCGCTTGAACTCAGGAGTTCGAGACCAATGTGGGCAACAGCGAAAACCTGTCTCTACAAAAAATACAAAAATTAGGCAGGTGTGGTGGCTCGTGCCTGTGGTTCCAACTACTTGGCTGAGGCGGGAGGATTGCTTGGGCCCAGGAGTTCAAGGCTGCAGTGAGCTATGATTGTGCCACTGCACTCCAGCCAGGGCAACAGAGTGAGGCCCTGTCTCTAAAACAAACAAACAAACAAACAAATAAAAATTAAATGGCTCAATGGCATTGAAGAAAAATTTTTAATGAAGCAAGTATAATATTGATGTTAAACTAAGACGATGCTCGAAAATAAAAATTGTAGATGAGTTTACTTATTGTATTGACACAAAAATCCTAAATAAAACATTGCAAACAGATTCTAGCACAGATTAAAAAACACCCATCAAGATCAAGGTTTTTTTTTTTCTTTCTAGAAAACCTTTTGGAAGTTAATGATATTTTGAATTTCAATGGATATTTCCTAGGAATAATGAGTTCAAATGAATGAATATGTGGAACAAAGCATCACCAACATTTATTTTTTTCAGGATGAGGTGATGGACAAAACCATCATAGAGAAATTGAGGCAAATAGTACATATAAAACAATACTTTGGGTGAGAGTCCACCCATCCCAAAGGTATATCAAAGAAGTGATTGCAGATTGGAGCCCAAAGTCTTTGGTTCCTCAGTTTCCAAATGGATTCTCACTAGGTGGGATCATGAGTTTGCTTTGGACACCCCAAATTCTAGCTATTTATTTTGTTTCTCACATCCTTTCCTTCTTTCCCAGCCCCTTCCCCTCATGTTACACCTCTTGCTAGTTTGAGATGTCAGTCACCACTGAGAAAGAATTAAACCAGTATTTTGAGCTGGCAAAATTCTTAGCCTAGTACAATTCCTTCAATTAAACTGTAGCTCAACAATAGTGTTCTCTAAAAATACGATTTAATTTTCTATCTAGCAGCTCAGAATATTTTCCATAATTCCCCTAGGGCAGAGTGGATTATGTTGGCATGTTAGGAGGAAGTAGAAGGAAGAAAATGAATTGAGATCTACATTTTGCTTCCATGTTAAAGCCACCAAAACAGCAGTTGAAGGGATATTTGTGTCAGGCAGTAGGGAGAATAAATACCACCCTAAAAAAACAACCATACATACACCCAAATTCTCTCACTTCTCAGAGAACGAGGAAGGAAAGAAAAGAGAGAAGCAAAATATGAACTTGAGTGAAAAACACAGTGAGACCCCCGTGTCTAAATAAAATTTAAAAATATTAAAGAAAAAAATATGGTGGCATGCACCTGTGGTCTTAGCTACTTTGGAGGCTGAGGTAGGAGGACTGCTTAAGCCCAAAAGTTCAAAGTTGCAGTGAGCCATGAATGCACCACTGCACTCCAGCATGGGTAACAGAGCAAGGCCCTGTCTTAATCAATCAATCAGTCAATCAATAAAAATAGAAGGTCTGGAGGGAATACCTTGGCACTTTTGCCCTTCTGCCTTCTCCCTTGTGAGGACTGTTACATTGGAATGATTTGACTGAAGTGTTTAGTTAAGTATTCTTTCAGTAAAACCTAGACAGTAAAACACTATCTTTAAGCAAATGAAACCAAAAGTGCAAATTGTAATTCACCATCTATGTTATTATTATTTAAAGGGCAATGTTTACTCATCATTTCACATCATCTTTCAGCATGAAATGTGGCCCTGATTTGCCTATACTGTGCACATTAAGAATGAACCCAGGATATCATGGTAACCACAAGCTCACTGTAATGACTTTTTCTTTTTTTCAAGTCGATGGCCAAGGCATCAAATCTTCCAGAGCTATGACCTTGAACTTCTAACTTCCAGAACTGTGAGAAATAAATTTCTCTTCATAAATTACCCTGTCTCGTGTATCTTGTTACAGTAACACAAATGGACTAAGATAGCGAGCATAAGGCTTGGGGGAAGAAAGGTACACTTCTTCAGATAAAAGAACAAAGACAGGATGATTAGCAGGGGAGAGAGGGGAATGAGGGAGTTCCATTTAGATGGTTGTGATGGACTCAGCTGAGAACAAGACAAGATCTGTCAAAAAGGAGTTGAAAGAAAATATATTTGATATAAGAAGAGCAAGAAGTGGTTTGTAAGTGAGTTTTTAAAGTTAATTAAGCAGGATTCAGAAAAGAGAGGTGAAATGCAATTGTGCAAACTTTTACTATTCTATGACCATTAGTAAATATGGCCTTGGTTAGAGGCCTGGATCAGACCAATCAGAAAAATAATTTCTTCCCCATGGCAGATTATAACAGGTAAAGAAAAAGAGAGAAGATGTGGAAGACATCGCTAATGTTCATCCTCTAATTTCTAGGCCCATGGAAAACAACAAACTAGACTTCCTACTCTCCTGGAGCTGTGCGACTCGTTCTCACCAATGGAAAGTGAACAAAAGGTTCCTGGTCAAAGAATTTAACTCCCTGCGCATGACTCTTCTCCTCTTCCCCTACCAAGTCAACCAAGACAGCCTTGTGTTGAGATGGCACAATCCCTGTAGAAAAGCAGTCTAATTAGCTGAGTCACCAGGAAGAGCAGCTGCCCCAGGGAATCACTCACACCTACAACACACTCTATGAATGAGAAACAACTGTTCTTTAATGAAAGCCCTGGAGGTTGTTGGTTACCACAGCCTGGCCTGACTTAACTTAACCGCTACATGTGCATTCATGGCTCACTGCAACTTTGAACTTTTGGGCTTAAGCAGTCCTCCTACCTCAGCCTCCAAAGTAGCTAAGACCACAGGTGCATGCCACCATATTTTTTTCTTTAATATTTTTAAATTTTATTTAGACATGGGAGTCTCACTGTGTTTTCCAGGTTGGTCTCTAACTCCTGGTCTCAAGCAATCTTCCTCCTCAGCCTCCCAAAGTGCTGGGATTATGGGCATGAGCCATCATCACTGCTGTCTCTAGTCCTTTTTAAGTCTCTAATCCCATTCAGGAGGCCTCTGCATTCATGACTTAATCACCTCCTAAAGGGCCCACCTTTTGATACTATCACATTGGTGATTAAGTTGCAACACATGAATTTTGAGTGACATTCAGATCACAGCATTTTGAAGAAAATTGTCCCTTTCTTTTCTTTTTTATCTTCATTTCCTCTTTTCTACAGAGGCCTTCCACTTCACCTGGAACCTTGTCAAGATCTCTCCTGTCTTAAAAGTTTCTTTTTGCAGAACACCAAAACTCATTCCTTCTGTCTAACGGTAACTTTGTACTCGTTACCAACCTCTACCCATTTCTACCCCTGACTCCCCAGCCTCTGGTAACTACTAATGTACTCTTTACTTCGATGAGGTCAACTTTTTTAGATTTCACATAAGAGTGAAATCACGTAATATTGTCCTTCTGTTCTTGGTTTATTTCACTTCACATAGGGCCCTCCAGGTTCACCCATGTTGTTGCAAATGACAGGATTTCATGCTTTTTTATGGCTGAATAGTATTCCATCATGTATATATATCGCATACTAATTACCCTGCTTTAATCACTACACAATGTATATGTGTGCTGAAACATCATGCTGTACCCCATAAATATGTACAATTATTACGTGTCAATTTAAAAAACCCAAGAAAAGGATTTTTTCTTGGTGTTGTTTTTTCTCAAGTGTATCCCATTTTTTTTTGTTTTCACTTTCAAAATTCTTGAAAGACTCTTTTAATCTGCTCCCTTTGTTTTCTTGTTTCCAATTCACTCTTTTGAAATATGGCTTCTACCTTTAACACTCTGCTGTCCTCTTGAAGGTTATTGGTGCCCTACTAATCATAAAACACATTAATGCTCTCTTATATTGTATCCTGGTGAGCCTTTTTGCAGAATTTTATTATTTGAGAATTCTCTTTCCGTGTTTTTTTTTTTTTTTTTAATTTATTTTGTTTTTTTTGTGGTCCTTTTGGCTTGTAGGAAACTGTACTCTCCAAATGTTCTCTATGTCTTCTATTTCTTCTCTGATAATCCCTTTACTAAATCCTCTTGAGGCATATGCTTCAGAATGCTTAATTTACATACTCTTAATTCCTTCTTAATTTATACCCTGCCTGCTGGAAATGTCAACACCCCATAGGGAGGGAGGCCTATTGGTCAGAACAGGCCAGGGAATAGAAGAATACATAATAAACAGTGCTTAGTTCTTCTGGGGCCCCATAATGTGTCGAATATATATTTTTACTTCTTCTCCCAGCCCATTTTTAATATACTTAAATTACTATCAGTGTTTCTGCAGGCAAACAATGGTTGAGTGGTATGACACAACTTTGTGAAAGTATCCTACCCAGTACCTGATGATGCGAAACTCTTCTATCTTGATTGGTTGTCAATCCGAGGAGTTTCCAATCCTGGGGAAGCCAGAAAAACACCTATTTATACTCTTAATGAGTACTTTTTGAAACCATTCTGAAGAGGCTGACAATTTTACTATCTCATTTTTTTGCTTTCTCCAGAATGGGTTCTGGGTGGGTCCCCTGGGTGGTGGCTCTGCTAGTGAATCTGACCAGACTGGATTCCTCCATGACTCAAGGCACAGACTCTCCAGGTAAGAACAGAGAAATTATTTTTTTCCAGTGTTTATGCAAGAATTGGCATGGGGGAGTGATGCCTTTCCTTATAAGTCCAGGCCACAGATCAGACTGGAAGTGGCTTTTGGTTTCAAAGAGCAGTGTTCCGCCCTTTGGCAGAAAAGTACTTCTTCCCTCTTTGCATGGGATGGGCTTCATATACCAGAGCCACCTATTAAAGAGGGGTAGGGAGGCAGAAAGAGGGAAACATTGTGTTTTGTTTAGGGTCCTTATTGTGTATATCAACCTCAGTCAGAGACTGGGCGTGTTCAAGACCTTGGCCTGGGTTTGAGCCTGCTGGGAAAAACCTGCAGTTGGCTGGGTCACAGAGGCATTCTGTGAGTTTTCGGTCAGGACACGGAAAGAAACCACAGTTGGGGTATATGTGGACAAGTGAAACTGGAAACAAAGGTTGCCCCTTCTGTCATTTATTAAGCTGCTATTATATGGTCAGAATTGTACTAAACAGTTTTGGGAAGTAAGAGAAGTTGAATAGAATACATTGTCTTTGTCCTCAGGCTACCAGGTACAAGTTACTTGTCACTGTTATTTTTCTAGCACAGGTGACAGACGATACAACCATGAAGCAATGTGAGACCATGAAAGCACATATTAATGAGCAGAAACAGGATGTAATGTGCTAAGAACAGAATCCACTTTGCATGTTAGTTTCATTAAATACAAAACAGGAACAAACCTGGCTGGGGGAGATTATCATTCTTAGAGAAGAGAAACCGCCCTGAGTCTATAATGTCCATTAAACAATACAACTGAAAAAAAAATCAGCACAGATTTTAAATGATGATGAAAAATTCGTATTTCCCCCTCTGGTTTAGACTACTAGAGGAAATAGAGGAGAATATACATGCTGAGAAACTGCAGGCTGTAACTTCATCTGACATTAGGTACTGAGTGAGGGATAAGTGGGGTTCACCCAGGAAGGTCATTCTTATGGCTCAGTTCAGAGTTGGAGGAGGCTTCTGAACTTAGGAATGAAAGTAAATTTACAACCCAACATTAATAGCAATTATCCTTCAAGTCTTGACTTAGATGCAGTTTCTTCGGGAAGTCCTTCCTGACTTACCTACATTATTAACCCCATTTGAATTTCCTTTTTATTGTAGTTGTTGTTGTTAAGTGCATAGAATTGGTTTAATTTTACCCAGTGAGTTCACAGCACATTGTAATTATTGGCAGTAGTACAAGACTCTCTCTTCTCTTCCCTTGCCTCCATTCTCATTCTCTCCCCTCCCTAGAGAATCCATTTTAAACATGTCTGGTATGTCTCTAAGTATGAGAGTGGCCTTTACAAATATGTAGCATTATTTCCCTTTATGTAATTTTAAAATTTAATAAATATCATTGTGTGTTGAATCTCATTCTGTTTCTTTTCTCACTTGACACTGCTTTTTGAGCATTCTGAGGTCAAAGGCCTCCTCTTAGATCCATGTGGTTTGACGTAATTTACCAGTCATGGGTTTTCCCAGAGGAGGGAGTTGGTTCATGGTCCCTGTTTTGGTTTTCCAGAAGATTTTGTGATTCAGGCAAAGGCTGACTGTTACTTCACCAACGGGACAGAAAAGGTGCAGTTTGTGGTCAGATTCATCTTTAACTTGGAGGAGTATGTACGTTTCGACAGTGATGTGGGGATGTTTGTGGCATTGACAAAGCTGGGGCAGCCAGATGCTGAGCAGTGGAACAGCCGGCTGGATCTCTTGGAGAGGAGCAGAGAGGCCGTGGATGGGGTCTGTAGACACAACTACAGACTGGGCGCACCCTTCACTGTGGGGAGAAAAGGTGAGCTGGAAGGTGAGGTCTGGCGGGGCTCAGGAATGTCCCCCATGTGAACCTGGCCACGGCTCTTCTTCCTTGTAAGCAATTTTCTGCTTTAGGATAAATGGTTGTCTGTATAGCTGTTCTGGCCCCAGCTGTGATGCATTATCCTCACAAGTCAGCCACTGTGATCTTGGTCTCAGACCCCCAAGGTTCTCAGGGACTTCGAGGGCTAGTGTACTCTCAAAGAGAAGCCGTAATCGTGGGAGTACCTCAGAAAGTCTAAATCCTCCTGGCAGACACTGACATACCCCGTTACTGAGCCTGGGGGCTGAGACTTGCCCATACTTTGTGTTCGCCTGGGTGATCTGGGAAAGAGATTGACATAGTGATGGTCCCTAAAGACTCTCCTGTCCCAGCTTGGTGGTTTTCTTCCACAATGTCTCATTTTTCTTTCCCTTCCTAGTGCAACCAGAGGTGACAGTGTACCCAGAGAGGACCGCACTCCTGCACCAGCATAATCTGCTGCACTGCTCTGTGACGGGCTTCTATCCAGGGGACATCAAGATCAGGTGGTTCCTGAACGGGCAGGAGGAGAGAGCTGGGGTCATGTCCACTGGCCTTATCGGGAATGGAGACTGGACCTTTCAGACCGTGGTGATACTAGAAATGACTCCTGAACTTGGAGATGTCTACACCTGCCTTGTCCATCACTCCAGCCTACTGAGCCCCGTTTCTGTGGAGTGGAGTGAGAATTAGTTTCTAGTACTCTCTGGGCCTGACTCAGGACTATACTGACTCAATACAGAGCCTGTGTCACTTCTGCATTTATCTTGGTCACAGCATGAATTATTCTTTCCCTTGATCTGAGACAGTTACAGAAACCAGAGTCCTTGGGTTAGGGTGGGAGAAAACATGGCAGATATCTATCCTCATATCTTCCAAGAAATGAGGAGGTCTAATCACCTCATTTTGTGCTTCCAACCCTATGAACTGGTGTCCTCCAATTCTTTGGTCTTAGTATTCAGGAGGCATTCTTACGGGCTGTAAGAATTAGTAACAGATGGCTGGTAACTCCATGGGTGCCAACTTTGGTTTCAAAGAACCATTTTAAAATTTATTTATTTTTCTCTAGCTAGCATTGGATTTGGTGTCTAGTACAGATTCTGGGATTTCAAGAAGATGCTTTAAATATTGGGATGTTTTTACTAAATTTAAGACCTGTTTTCCATAGGAGTTCAGTCTGAATATTCTTGGAGAAAGATACTGAGTGGCATTGCAGCCTTCCTACTTGGGTTAATCTTCCTTCTGGTGGGAATCGTCATCCAGTTTAGGGCTCAGAAAGGTAATGAGCCTGTGAGGAGTGCCCTGCCACCTGTCCCAGACCTTCCCCACTCCCACCTTCCCTAACGTCAATGATCTGAGGCAAGGAAAGCTGATTGTACCTCTCAGGGATCACTGGGATAATTTTTTCTGAAGCTAGAAACAGAGAATAAGCAGGAAGAGTGCTGACATTGCCAGTCATTTGTTCTTCCCTCGGGATAATCATATTGGGTCCTAATTGGGGCAATCCATTCTTTTCTCGATTTCTTTCCAGGATATGTGAGGACACAGATGTCTGGTGATGAGGTAATGTCTCTTTTCCCTTGTCTTTGAGTGGCAGATCATTCTCCCGGTTCTTTGGCCAGAAGGAGATGCCATGGGGGTAGGGAGGAGTAAGGTTGGTGCTGTCTGGACGGGACTGTCTCCTGAGTCTCTGGAACGGCTATGGGGAGTGGTGAGGCTGCCTCCTGAGACCTTCATTACTGTTCCTCCAGGTCTCAAGAGCTGTTCTGCTCCCTCAGCCATGCTAAGGTCCTCACTGAAGCTTCTCTCCCCGGAGCCTGAAGTAGTGATGAGTAGTCTGGGCCCTGGGCGAGGTAAAGGACATCCATGAGGTCAATGTTCTGGGAATAACCCTCTTCCCTGATCCTTGGAGGAGCCTAAACTGATTCTGGAGCTCTGTGTTCTGAGATCATGCATCTCCCACCCATCTGCCCTTCTCCCTTCTACGTGTATATCATTAATCCCCATTGCCAAGGACACTGTCCGGAAACTCCCCTAAGACCTTACTCCTTCCAGCTCCAAATCATTTACTTTTCTGTGGTCCAGCCGTATTCCTATAAGTCATGATCTCCAAAGCTTTCTGTCTTCCAACTGCAGTCTCCACAGTCTTCAGAAGACAAATGCTCAGGTAGTCACTGTTTCCTTTTCACTGTTTTTAAAAACCTCTTTGTTGTCAAATAAAATGGAGATACAAAAAATGTACAGTTTAGTGAATTATTGAAAGAAAACCCCTGTAATCAAGTCAAGGAACAGGACTTTGTCAGCTCCAGCAGAAGTCTCTGTGTACGTCAGGCCAATCATAGCCTCTACCTCCCCTCAAAAGTGACCATATGCTGACTTTATTGTAACCTCTTTCTTGTCTTTGTAGTCTATTCCCCCAGGTATGTGTTCCCGGACGCCACAGCTTAGTTGTCTTTTACGTCTCTTGTACTTCACTGGTTTCTCCCCCATCAACCTTTTTTCCCCCTTATGATTAATCTGTTGAAAAGCTCGAGCCATTTGACCTGTAGAGTTTCCCACACTCTGGACTTTGCTGGCTGCGTACACACGGTGTGGTGTAACACGTCCTCTACCCTCTGGGCCTCCTGCAAATTGGCATCTGGATGCAGAGCCTGGATCAGTCTCTGGTTCGATCTTTTCCTTTGGAAAATCTGTACGCGGTGTTGTGGCCTTTCACCATGAGACACATAATTTCCAGCTGTTTCTTTTTGTGATGTTATCAACCATTGATACTAATTGCTTAGGTCTATTAATTTATTGGGGATTGCTGAATGGTGATATTCTGTCATTTTTTCTTCATTTATATGCTTTATTAATGCTACAGAGAGGCAGTTCCCTTCATTTACTAGTGGGCTACTCAGTGGGACAGCGGAAAGGCAGGATCAGTGTTTGACTCTCCTTTTATTTACCAATTTTCAAATTAACAAATTGGTTTCCCACTACTAATAAAATCTATAGATGGCCAATCAGGTTTTACTTTTCATTCTTAATTATAAACAGAAGGATTTAAATGTTTGATAGGTTTTACTCTATTGCAATTTTTATGCTTGTTAAAGCTTATTGCTATATTTTTGGTGAGTGAAAACTTCTTCAAGTGGCTAATAATGAAACTGAGTTCTTTTGACACAAAGTTCTTTTGATAATTTCTTTGTTATCTGGGATGACAAGATGTTTCTGGTTCATCCTGTTCATGTCTTGCCCAGACCTGGAGGTAGCCATTTTTCCAGAAATCCCTGGTTTAGTTTAGTGGGAAATTACATGTAAGACTATAATCCAGCGTTAGGGTATTTTGTCCCACTGAACCTGCTGCTGGAGTCACCTCAAAAGTGGCGTCAAGGGAGTTGCCACAAGGAAGTGCCTCAAACATCCTGAGGTGGTGTGGGTTAAGACTCAGAAAGAAGCACTAAATGCCAGGGTGATCAGTCCAAAGCATTTATTTGGGGAATTTACCTTCAGAGGGCTTTAGGAGTCCTCGCAGACAGCAAGAGAAAAGGGGTGTTCTGCCTAGGTATGTCTGCAGTGAGGGGGTCAGGGTTTAGAATTTATATGAAGGTTTAGGGAATCTGGCTCAGGGCTGGGACAAGTTTCAGTGTTTAGAGTAACAACCTAAATACGTTTATCAGTGCCTGGGCGTGTTCAAGGCCTTGGCTTGGGTTCCAGCCTGCTGGGAAAAACCTGCAGTTAGCTGGGTTACAGAGGCATTCTGTGATTTTTTGGTCAGGACATGGAAAGAAAGCAGGGAGAGGGGCAGTGGGGGAGCCTAAATAGATAGGAGTGGTCGTTGTGTCTGGCCTGATCAATGGAAATAAAACATTTATACATGTATACATTTTTAAAAAATCAGTCGTCCGGGCATGGTGGCTCATACCTGTAATCCCAGCACTTTGGGAGACCGAGGCAGGTGAATCACGAGGTCAAGAGATTGAGAACATCCTGGGCAACACGGTGAAACCCCGTCTCTACTAAAAATACAAAAATTATCCAGGTGTGGTGGCAGGTGCCTGTAGTCCCAGCTACTTGGGAGGCTGAAGCAGGAGAATCGCTTGAACCTGGGAGGCGTAGGTTACAGTGAGCCAAGATCGTGCCACTGCACTCCAGCCTGGTGACACAGCAATACTCCATCACAAAAAAAAAAAAAAAAAAAAAAAAAAAAAATTCAGTCTTTTCTATATTAAATCTGCATCTCCTTTCTTTTACACCAAGAACTCTGGTTTCCAAGGATGCAGGGAATGTCCATACTTATTTGCTTTTCCTGGGTTAACATAGACAACAGTCTAAGGATAATAACACTCATACTAAAACCACCAAAATCGCTACTGAAAAAGGTTGAAGTTCTTTTTACCTACTTTTTCCCTATTACCTGTGTTCTCCCTTTTTACCTATGTTCTCCCCCCGTTTCTAATTGAACCGTATCTATCCTAATTGATACTGTGCCATTGCATAGACTACTTGCTCCCTTATTAGTCTTAGTTCTGTGAGTAGAGAGGTGTTTAACGCTCACCATCATTCCTTACGTGGATATCCCTATCATGTGGTGGTTTTCAAGGTGTGGTCCGTGGATCCCTGGAGGTCCCTGGGACCCTTCAAGGGGCCTATGAAGAGACGCTATTTTTGTAATAATACTAAGATGTTATTTGCCTTTTTCACTGTATTATTTACATAGTGGTACAGAAATCTATGGTGGTCACGTGAAACTGTTAGTGCCTGAGCACAAATCAAGGCGGTGACACCAAGCTGTACAGGTAGTCATGTTCTTCACTGCCATAAGCTTACGGTAAAACAAACAAACAAACAAACAAAAAGCAAAAGCCAGTGACCTTGATGAAGCAATAAAATCATTATTTTACTACGTTTTAAACCTCAAGCACACACCTGTTTAGTAGTCAGTGTGAGAAAATAGGCAGCATTTCTGGTGCACACTGATGGAAAGGCAGTTGTCCTATGGAAAAGCTATTGTGTAATTGCATGAGTTGTGAGTGAAGTTAAACATTTTTTTTTTAAGTGGGTCATCATTTTCCTTGAAAGAATGACTGAAAGGCACACTGTGATTATTCAGACTTGGGTATTTGGTAGAAATTTTCTCAAAAATGAACAAAATGAGCCTATCCCATCAAAGAAAATAATATTGACAGTGGAAATTGGAATTTCAAGAGAAAATTAAAATTTTGGAAAACTTATGTGTGCCACAGCTTCTCACTACTTAAATATTTTTCTGATGAGCTTGGTGGTGATATTAACAAATATGGTTTAAAAATATTTTAATAAAATATGTCAACACTTTAAAGATCTGCATAACCCTGTGAACCAATAATTTACAAATAATCAATGCATGATATTGCAAAGTCATGCATAGAGGAAAAGATCCATTTAAAGATAGACTAGTGAATTTTAACATAACAGAATATGAAAAGTTAATTGATAAGGTTTCAGATTCCACACAGCAACTAACCTGTAAGAATCTGCCATTTCTCGAGTTTTGGTGTCTTATCAAGGAAGAACAGTTACAATAGCTGAAATGGCTATTGAAACTTTCCTTCTTTTCCCAATTGTGTATCAGAGTGAGGCCAGATTTTTTTCTTGTAGTTTAGCCAAAATAACATATTGTTACAGCTTGAATGTAGAAGAATATATAACCAAGCTAGTTTTATTAAGCCAGACATTAAAGAGATTTTTACAAATGTAAAATAATTCCTTTTTTTCACTATATTTTTTGTGCTGGAAAAGACAGCTATTTTCCATAAAAGTATGTTGTTTATGTTAACATGTAATGGGTTTGTCATTGTTATTTAATAACAAATAAACAATATAAATGTCACTTTACATGACCCATGTAAACTAAAGTTTCTTGGTGTTCTCAACAGTTTTACGAATAAAAAGGAATCCTGATCCAAAAGACTTATAACTACTGATATAGTCATCATGATTGTTTGAAACTATTTCTGCTAGGTGCCTCAGGAAGGCTTAGGAAAGTATCTTAGTTTGTATGAGCTGCTATAACAAACTACCAGAGACTGGATGGCTTAAAAGCAGCAGAAATGTATTTTTCACAGTTCTGGAGGCTGGAGGTCTGAGATCAGTGTGTCAGCCTGGCAGGGATCTGGCGAAGGCCCGCTGGCAGCATCTTCTCACTAAGACCTCACGTGGCAGAAGGAAAGGCAGTTCTCTGGAGTCTCCCTTATAAGGGCCCTAATCCCATTCATAAGGGCTGCACCCTCCTGACCTAATCACCTTCCAAAGGTGTCATCTTCTGATACCATCACCTTAGGTGTTAGGATTTCATCACATGAATTTTGGGAAGGCACATTCAATCTACACCAGAAAGTTCTTGCACTTCGTAGTTGAAAGTCAGTTTTGTGGTTATAAAAATCTTGATTCTATTTTCTGTTGAGTATCTTAAAAAGTTACTATATTTTCACATAACTGCTATCAAAAAATCTGATGATAATCTAATTATTAATAAGTCATTGCTACTTTTGCTGAGTATCCAGACGGTATTTTCTTTTTCTTTAGTATCCACAAACTTTATTGAAATGTATCTTGGTCGGGAGGAGGGCAAGATGGTCGACTAGATGCACCAGGTGGAACAGCTCTCAACGAGGAACCCAGATGACTGGCGTGCTCCTAACAGATGTTCAGACAGAAGGCACCTAGAGTGGACAGAGGGAAAACACAGAAGCTGGGCTGAAGGGGGAGAAAGCTGGGAACCCTACATGGGGCTACAGCACATCCGGACTCATTCCTGTCCTCCAGTGACTCCAGGGAAATGGGTGAGTTGAACTGGCAAGGAGCAACCCATTGTCACCATGACCTCTGGAACCATGGCAGGAGGAGACTCACTGACCACCGTGGACACTTGAGTTGGCAGGGAGAACTGCTTAGAGAAGTGCTAGGGGCAGCAAGCCAGCTGGTGTGGAGCCTAGAGGATTCGGTGCAGGAGCATCCGCAGTGGAGCATGGTCAGGGATGGCCATTTCCCTAGGCTCAACTTACTCCCACAGGAAACATTAACCCTAGGGGAACTGTTGGTCCTGAAATCTATAGGGTGGTCTTGCCCATCAGATGGGTCTGGTTCTATCTGAGCACCCCTTGGTCTTCTGGCCTCTCCTGGGGCCCCAGCCTGGCCATATCTGCTTGCAGAGCAGCCTCAGGTGCCCTGTGGGCCTGCACCATAGCTTCTACACTGGTAGACCATGCCTGATCAGT